GGTTCCTTCACCTATGGAGAAGATAAAAGACAGGGCTGACATTAGAACAGATATCATCAGGATGGCTTCATCTGGTCATCAGGCGATGGTTTCTATCCACCAAATGTCATAAGACACCATTGGTCTGCCAGTAGAGGCAATGAGCCAAGAAACCTGGGTGCTTTGGGGAAGATTTATATTATTACATTATTAATATCTTTAATAATATTTGTTTCCAATAACAAGCTCTATAGCAAGATCCCCAGGTCTTGACTGCCTTCCTAAATCAGTTCCTTTCAAGTCTGACACAGCTGAAGCTTGTGGTCTTTTACAGCATGGCCTTCATCTAAACAAACTGCTAGGAGGATAGGGAGGCACAGAGATCGTCCCAGCACTTCTCCCACGGAAAAGCATGAAAATACTTTGCTTTATTATTTCATCTCACTGTCCCAAATTGTGAGCTCTGCTCTTCCTAAATCTGGCCAGCAAAGAAGCACGAACATGTTCATGAAATAGATGTGAGAGCTCTGAAAACCAAAACAAGCCAAATTTATCTCTAGTAATTCTGTAAAGTGAAAGAGGTGATCTATTGCGGTGCCAGGGTATAAGTTCAGCACGTGCCTCTTGCTGCTATCTGTCAATTACTCAGATACTTTAGTGTCTTTTTTCCATCTGAAACTGTGTTATACTTAATTCTTTCCAGCCAATGCTGCTTGCCATGTTGCTCTTGGGAGAACACACATGGGAATGGATGCTCTACAGTGGATTGCTCACCTCCAATCACTGCTGCACGCTCTGCCTGTCCTGGAAACCCAAACCCAGGGCTGAAAACAGCCAGATTAAGACAAGAACAGCCCATTTTGAGTGTCAGGTTTGACCTCCCATGCTGCCCAAGCAAAAAACTACTCTAGTTCGGAAATTTCCTGCCTCCAAGCTATTGCTTGCTGCTGAGCCAGAGCCTGGCAGGTTGGAAACCTCAGCTTTCAGTCCACTGTTGGCAGATAGAAGAAAAAGACAAGGAAAGAGGCTCTGGCTGGGCTCTCTGCAAATGCTGACATGATTTGAATGAACATTCCTTGGGACATGCACAGCTGGGCATGTATCAGTGAGGAGGGCCAAGATTCCTGCAAGGACTTGTGCCTTTCCGCAAGGTTGAAATTGTGCCTCCCACAGCACACTGCCCATTGGCAGCCAGAGAATCCTGGGTGCCCTGAAGGGGTGAGAGCCACTCCCAGCCCCTCAGTGACAATGACAGATAGGACACAGGGTCTGTTTGTCTTCGCAAACTGGGGCTCCCCCGTTGCCTGCACTGGGAGCTGTGGAATTGCTGTGCTATCCCAGCCTCAAGGTGTTTTACAGCTCTCTTGCTCTTAAAGGGGGGGGGGAAGATACCAGATGTCAGAAGGTTGTTATAGCTGCTTTGCTTTATTGATAGATACAGCATTACAAATGAGAAGTGCAATACATGCAAAAACCATCTGAGTCTTGTCTACTGTTGAGTGTACGCAAGTGAAATAACCCCCAATACATTAATACCTTTCCCAGGCCTCCCCACAGCCAGGTAAACATCAGTGGACAATAGTGCATTCAACAAGGAAATCAGGTATATTTAAAAAAACAACAAATATGGTTCTTCCCTTCATTTAGTGCAGGTACATCATTGACGAACCAATGTTTTGAGAGAAGGCGGAATGAAAGGGATGAAGCTGCTATGAGATACTGAGATAGGGGAACCAATATGGAGGCTCAGTCCATCCTGATGGCACTAGTTTAACTCACTGAAAGCTGGGAAACAGCTCAGCTGATTTCTGGAATAAAAAATAAAATAAATAAAATAAAATAAAATAATGCTGACAAATACTGTAGAAGGCGAAAAAAGGGAAAAGTGTGTATTGGTTAGCGGAGTTTTTCCCTCTTTATCTGCCCCTATCTAGAGACACTGATTTACAGATCTTGAAAAGACTCTGTCCACTTCATTACAGCAAGTTGCACTTTCCCTCTTTCCCAGTATCCCTATGTGTATCATACTGGGAAAATGCCCTCTGAATAGATGCTTTATGACAAAAAATTTGGCCTTTGCTCCCTGCAGAGCTACATGACAATACTGAGATCCAGATCTAGGGCCGGGCTAGGACAAGGGGCTGACTTTCAGTCTTTTCTGGGACTCTTACGTGTCATTTTAGGACTTCTCTGCTGAAATTATCCTTTGCCTCCCCACCTTCTTGAGCAGAGCATCATGTGGAAGTCCTTGGACCAGCTGGGCTGAATGTGGAAGTGTGTTGAGTGTTCAGACCTTCCGGGTGTCCATCCCCAGGCATCACTGCTGGCCACTGCTGCAGCCTCCCGTGCTTCTGCGACCCAGCAGCTAAGCAGTTGGAGATGTATCTGTGTGTAGAGGCACCATAACAAAGATCAGAGTTAATTCTGCCCAGCCATCTGAGCAAACATGGTATCTTGGGTTTGTTCTCAAGCCTGCAGTCTGAGATTTTCAAGCTAAGTCCATGATTTATCTGCCAAGCTGCAAAGAGGTTTTGCAGGCAACAGGATAAACTTGAGCTGAAGCCAAGGTCCAGTTTCAACCCATTTTCCACCCACTGGCCAGGATCAGGCTCAGAGGTCCCTGTGGCTGCTTGAGTCTTTCCTTGCAAGTGAAGGCAGTCCCTGCCAAGCCAAAAGGCAGGATGACATATTTCGAACAGTCTCCTGCTATCAAAAAAGAAATGAGCTGAGCTGATCTGGCCCCATGGTGACCCACAACAGGATAAGACAGAAAGCAGTGTTAAAGATGAGCTGTGCTTGGAAACAGCATCATCACCCTTATGGTGCTTCCAGCATTGCTGCTCCCTAAATGTCCCCCATGATAGCGGTTTACACAGCAAAGAAAGCTTCCAAAGGCAAATTTTCCAGCAGCGGCTACCAGAAGCTGTGATGAATTCAGTCCTCACCCTTCACAGAGATACCTTCCAGTGCAAAGAAAACCAAAGGTCTGCAGTAGGTGACAGGACAGGGACAGGAAGGCCGTCCTTCCTCCACCTGCAATGAAACACATATCCAAAGGAAGAAGCCAGCCCTGCATCTGTGCAAAAAACCCTCCTGACCAGCCACAAATTCCAAATTCTGAGAAAAAGGATTGTTTTGCTTACTGGGATATTTTTAAAGGAAACTGGTATAAACCATTTATTTTTAAATGCCTAAATCAGCAACTCCACTTTCAAGCTGGAAAAGTCATCTGAGGCAGGAGGTTGGGCTTGGTGAAGTCCCTACTCACGTCCCTTACCCCACAGTGACACTTGAGGTCTTGGCCACGCCAGATGGACTGTCCCGATTTGGAGGATTAGGGATGCTTGGGCACTGTTTTGCCCATCAGTTTTTCTACTACCAGCCTGGAACTATAGTATTTTACCTCCTATTTGTGCATGATGGTTACATGTGATAAAAAGCAGCGCGAGGATCCCTGAAAACTTAAGAAAGGCTTATATTGACCCCAAGAAACCAGAGAAGCACTGTCTACTATGAAACCCAACTAGATACAACATTCTCTTTCTTTTGTCTTTGGCACATCTTCAGCTCCTGTCCAGCTTTAGGGTATCTGGGAACAGCCCAAACCAATAAAAGCTAAGCAAATACCAACAACCACTGGGAAACACCCCCTAAATCTCACCAAGAATCACCGAGTGCTTATTTATCTCGGTGGGTTCAGAGGGACATCTGCTATGGGATTGAGGTTTCATGGGTGTTTTTAAGGGCATATCACCCTCTGTTGCAGGTTTGAGCCCTGAAAAAGAGAAGTTGCCACACACTCTGATCCTCCAAAGAGCGGCACTCAGTGTGCCCTTCTTCCCACCCAACTCTCACCCCAGGAGCAAAAATAAATGAAAAGCAAAAGAAAAAGTCAGGCTTCATATTCTGGATGGATATTTATTTGCTTAAACAGATTTTCTTTTTTTTTTTTTTTTTTCTTTTTTGGTACAAAGCATCCAGGAAAGCTTTTACTTCTCTTTTTAAAAAATAAAAACTAGGTTTCTTTTTTAAAAAAAAAAGACGTATTAAAAGAAAAAAAAAATGTCAATCATTTGCAATTGCTCTGCTTTTTCTGCCTTCCCCGCCCATTCCCCTTCCCCCCCTCCCTTTAATTTGGACCGATTTTCATTCTTTCCATATATATTTAATAAAATAAATAAAGGATATTCTTTGTCGTGTATTGCAGTGCCATATTTTTTTAAACAAAGGCTTCATGGCTCAACATTGCAAGGTAATAACAAACAAAAGGATTATACATTAAAATCCTCCCCCTCTCAAGACTCCCCCTAGCCCTCCCCTCCAAACCACGAAATAGAATACAATTCAAGTAGTCTTTTTTTTTTTATGTTTTAAATGTATAGATATATAAGACAAAGCAAGTACAGAACTGGTTAACAGAGTGTCCCCATTTTATTAGCAAGTGAGAATATATTAGGGAGATGTAATTGATTCCCCCCTTTTTATGGTTCCTAGACAGATAATATATATTATTTTAAAGCCAACCTATTTTACAGCCCTCGACCACCTCTCAAACCCATCCACTTACTGAGTCCCAGGCCTCAAGCCAGAGACTTGCCTTTCCCCCCCGTCCCATGCAGCAGTCCCAGCCTGCAGCCACCCGGTGCAGCCCTCCTCTTTTGCAGCCCTGGGAGGGGGCACAAGGAGAAGAGTGGGGGACATGGAGCAGGGAGGGTGTGTCCAGAGAGAAGGATGCAAGGGGCAAGAGAAGGAAAAGAAGATGGTGGGGCATGGAGCTGGTGGTTCTGCGGGGCCTGGCGGTGGTGGCCGGTGTCCCACCCGCTCGCCGGAGCACTGCAGGGTGGGGAGGAAAGTGGTAGGTCCCATGTGGCTCTGGAAGCCAAGCTCTGCCGGGGGTCCATGCAGAAGCAGGGCCTTGAGTAGTAACTGGCGATACCTTCACCATTCAAAATAGTTTGTCTCTAGAACAGTTCCCTTTTAGTCTAAATTGTGGTGGTTTTGGTTGGTTTGGGGGGGGGGGGTTATTTTTTTTTTTTAAAGGATGCGTGTCGATGTATTTCTGTGTGTGCGTGCATCTGTGTACATGAGTAACAGCCAACTAGCTCATATGGTCATGACCAAGCTATATTTCAGAAGAGAAAAGAAACACATTTATCACACTTTTCCTAAAACGAAAAGCTAAAATTTCAAGTTCAGTATTCGCTATCTTGTCCTTCCCTCCCCACCCTCCCTTGCTATTTCTGGGTTTTTTCTCTTCCAACTTACTTTAGCACCATAACACATTTTAAACATTACAATCCTTCTTCAGATACTACACAAAATGTCCCATAAAAATAGTGCTTTTTTTGCCAAAAAAGTTATATAATATATTATATATATAAATCAACTAAATCCGTGGCAAATGTGCAATGCAGACGCCTCCTCCATTTAAAGTGAGCAACAGCTCACTTTTTTTTCTTCTTTCTCCTTTCCTTTTTCTTCTATCTTTCTCGCTCTCTCCTCTTCCTCTCCTTCTCACCATGATTTCAAAAAGGTGCAAGTCGATTTGGAATCTTGTAATGAAGCACACACACAAAAATGCAGATGGGGGCTCCTTGGAACATCTTCTCAGGTATGTTTTTCTTTTAAAGGTGCAAAAGAAAGTTACAAAAATAAGAAAACCAAATTAAAAAAAAAAAAAAAGAAGAAGAAGAAAAACGTGGGGTGGGAATGAGGCAAAAAAAATTCTATCCCTCAGTATTTCTCCCCATTTTACTTTATTTTTTTCACTTTATTGTCAAGAAAGACATGGAATGGATTCTTCTTCTCAAGAAAAAAAAAAAAAAAAGAAAACAAAAAAGATTTAAAAAGATTTTTTAACTTCAAATCCTTTTTCCCTCTTGCTCTTTCTTTTGTCTTCTGGCATTGGCACCGGGGATGTCACGCAGCGCCCGGCAGCAAAAAGTTCAAGTGCCAAACTGTCCCTTTGCAAGTACAGGCTTGGAAATACTGGGGGCGCGGGGGAACGAAACAGGCCTGGGAAATGAAACAACCCTCCCCCCCACCCCGAAAGGACGATGCCGCGGGAGCTGCTCGCCGCCGCTGCCGCCGCCGCCATCCCCTCCTTGCTGTGTCAGTTGTTTGGTTGGGGCCGGAGCGGCGTGAGGGTGCTCCGCCACCCCGCTCCTCGGCTCGGCGGCCCCGGGGACGGAGGGGCTCGGGGGCCGGGTCTCGCCAGTCCTCCCGCCCTTCCCCGGGAGATCAAAACTCGAGACGGCTGGTCAGGGTTCATTTCTGGGGGCCGGCCGTCTCAGGGGAGGCTCGCGCCGCGGGGGGCCTCTGGCTGGGCAGGGAGATGAGGGGACGGTGCAGGGCCTTGGCTTCCTCCGCCGCTTGCAGGCCCTCCGCCTGCCACCGGTACTGGCGAGCCCGCAGGATGCCGGGCACCTCCCGCTGCAGCCGCTGGGAGCTCTTCTTCTGCCACACGTCGTACTTGGAGTACTTGGCATGCGAGGGCTTCTGGAAGCTCTCCTGCAAGGGGATGAGATAGCAGTGTTAGGCTCTCCGCAAGCCCTCCAGGTGGGCTTCCCCTCTTTGAACTCCATCCATCCCTCCCATGGAAACACTGTCCCATTCCCGGAAATATTCAAGGTCAGGCTGGACAGGGCTTTGAGCAACCTGGTCTAGCTGAAAATGTCCCTGCTCATTGCAGGGGGTTTGGACAAGATGACATTAAAATGTTCTTTCCAACCCAAACTATTCTATGATTTGTCCCACCTCTGGCCCCCCACCTCATTAAAGCTGACTTTCCACAGGGTTTTTAGCATGAGTTGCCAATGGTGACCATCTCAAAGGCTCTGCAGGAGCAAGACTTTGCCTCTGGGGTTTGTCCTCTCCCATCCATGGCCTTCACATCTTTTCTCTTGCTATCTATTTCAGAGAAGCATTGCCATCCCGGCACAGACCTCCTACCTTGCTGAGTGCCGGCAGGCCCACCAGGGAGGTGGCGGAGAGGTCACGCTCGGACTTGACAGACTTGGCGCAGTAGGTTTCCAGCAGAGCCAGGTCGCAGCTCCGAAAGCAGCACTCCTCCACGATCCCACGGTTGATCCGCCGGTTATTTCGTCCCACCGGTCTACCTGCAACAGCAGAGAGCCCAGTGTTAGCTGCCAACCTGGACTGGACCCTCTTCCCACCTCAACAGCAAAAACATCCCCCTGCGGGCGTCCCTCCACCAGCAATCAGAGACTGGTGGGTCCACACTTCAAAACCAGTAGCGCTTCTCCCAAACCAGCCGACACGTGCCCGCAAACCAGACGAGTTTCACATTAAGACTGTCCCAGACTAATGCTGTTAATGCCAACAGGGCTCCCCACTTGCGTGCAGTACTAATCAAAGGCACTTTCTATGGTGGTGATTTATTCCCCTCATATACCTTCAGCGCAGGCAGCCTTTCTGGGCGCAGCTAAAGCAAGGAAGCCCAAGCCCAGCCCCGCTGCCAGCACTGCGCCAATTACTGTGACCGTCTCCGATGTTGATCCTGGCAAGTGAGTTTTATTAGAAAGAGGCAGCACGGCGTTGCAGCTGCCAACCTCCCTCCGCCGGGTCCACACTCAGGCAGGTGAAGCGAACCAAGGTGGCTAAATTTTACCAGATGGGACAGCTCTGAGACAGCTGCAGAAAGAATACAGGCTCCCGCACCTGCCAAGAATAGCTATTAAACTTAATCGTTTAATAAGGGTTCCTCTCCCATTTCTGCCTGCGGAAGGATGAGAAAGCCCATGTCCAGTGCAGCAACAACCGTACGCATTTCATATCACCGCTTAATGATGGCCAAAGCACTCCAGAGGAAAACCTTACATCAGTTTTACTGGTCTTCCTTCCACGCTCAAAATAAAAGACATAGGCAAATTCGAATTTCTCATGCAAAAAAAATTTACTTGGGAGTTGAGACTTCCAAAATACAAACTGGCCCAAAACAAAGGGATTTTCTCTGCACTTCTGTGCACAATGTGTTATGTGCTTGTGCTGTTCTGGGGTTTGCAGCCAGGGCTCCGCACACTGCCATCAGCACCTTTTCCCAGCACAAGGTGCTCCAAGGGAGGGGAGCAGAGCTGGCATCAGCGGGGCTTGCAAACAGGATCCTGTACCACATCCAGAAGAATCTGGGCACGGGAAAAATTGAGAGCGAGTTGTGGAAATACAATGTCTAATGCTGCTTACCATGCCATGCTGAGCCCCCACCTCCCTACAGGAACAAACAAAACGGTCCATACTGGCCCCGTGCACAACCTGTAATCCACTCCTGCACCATGGATGAAGGAGGTACTCAAGTATTTGGCCTGGTTGAACATTTTGGGGCCCTAGCTTGCAAGGCACTGACCAATTTCCCTGGGGGAAATTTCCATCTGGGTAGCCACCCAAAGTGAACAGGAGTTTTCTGTGTGTGCAGTGCAACCCTACATGTGAAAAGCAGCTCTGTATGTGCAATATACATGCATGTGCAATGCAGACCTGCATGTTCAGTGCAGTCCTGCATGTACAATGCACCCCATGTGTGCAATTCTGGCATGCAAAACCCCATGACCATACTTCACCGTGGACTCTGCAAGAGCAAAGCCCCTGGCAGCAGGACACCTGCTCTCTGTTACAATCAGCTGTGCCCCCATCCGCAGGGAGCCCTCTGCTCCATGCCCATACATTGCCACTGCATTCATAGGTCATGAGAGCAAGTGCAGCACCAGGGCGCAGGGTGATGGGGCAGCTGGCCCATACATGCAGCGCATCTTCGGCAGTCATGTCCAGTGCTTTGCTTTTCACATTCATCTCCCCTGAGCCACCACCCTCCTTTTCTTTTTTCTTAGGAAAAAAAATCAGACATGACCTTTAGCCAGCCCTACGGGAAGGTGAAAAGAACAGCTCCCTCTTGGTACAGGCTCAGGAAAGGGAGCACTCTGAGGAGTTTAACTTTCTCTCTGTAAATGCTTGTGGCCAACAAGCCCACTGAATTAGTCCCTCCCTTTAAAGGCAGAGCAGGTGAATTGGGTGCCTACAGCCGTATGAATGATACCAGTGAAGGCAATCCAGGTTGCAATGCCCAAGGAAGATGGGGGAGAGGAATCAGATTAGGGGCAGGTACATGTATTCTTCTATATGCATGCAATGCCCAACAAGATGTATGGGAGACCTGCGCAGCTGCTGTTGCATCCCACAACACATATGGCCCCCAGTCATCACCTACCGACCCCACTGCCCAAACCTGCATGTGTGGCAGGTTGCTGAAGCATTAGGTTGCTCCAGAAAGGCATCCTGAGCATGGGCAGAAGGAGAGGTTGGAAGGAAAAGAGAAAAAATTCAAGTCACCCCTTCTTGCTAGCACATCCCCACAGGGCTGCATTCACACTCCCGCTGAACAGAAGGTTGCACAAGTGACAACACGCACAGTTTGGGGAGAATTTGAGGTTTTGAAAGGTTACACGTCTCCTCTCAAAAACAGAAGTTGCCCGCTTGCAGCAATGTGTTTGTTTGGAAAGAAGAGTGTGGAAAAAAAACTCAAGGAAATCGGGACCATTTCACCACCTTGCCAACACGGGCACTTTGTGGCATGGGAGCACGTGGGGAGATCACAGCAGCACGCTTGCAAACACCCTGGTGTGGCACCACCAGGCTGAGCTACCGGCAGGGACAACCATGGTGGCATGGCTCTTTTCTCCCCAGTCACTGCCCCTGCCAGATCTGTGGGCACACGCACGGCCACTAGCCCCATGTGCTGCCCCTTCTCTTGCATGAAGACACTGCATGCTGCTCCCCTTGCTGGCACTGCTGCCAGCTCCACCGCGATGGTCCGATAGGGCACATTTTCCATTACATAATTGTTTGTACAGATCTCGCCAAATGCCAATACAATCCTCTGTGGGAGAGTTACTTTAGGAAAAAAAACAACAAAACAGGCAAACAAAACAAACAGGATTTAGTCCCTGAAAGTACCTGGAGACAACAACCCTAGGAAGGGATGCCAGGACATTGGTGGTTAACAGCGATATCGCTGCTGACCTGGACCGGGAAAAATGCTTGTTCCATAACACAATTTACGCACAGACTAAAGGTTGAATTGCCTGGCTTCTGCCCATGGGTGGCATCTTGCTTTACTGCCACTGCCAAACCCAGGGAAGGATTTGCTCCTTTGTCCCCTGCCCACATGGGAGAGCTGTGTGGACAACGGTCTGCATCGCCACATCAGCCACTTCCCACTGCAGCAATGACCACCTCCTCCTGAGGAAG